ACTTGATCAAGAGCGCAAGTTGGTCCCAAATCTGCACGATATCGGACTTAGGAGATCTGTATTGACAAGCTCGGGACACAAGGGATCAGATATCCTGAATTGCCATTTCGGCGGTCTGAATTTACAGCACGGAAATATAGAGATAGAATAAAATTTTCAAGAAGATAGGAAAAAGCACGTTCTCGATGTATTGCAGATAGATGACAAGGAATAATATATTTTTCTATTTTATTCGAGTATTTCGTTCCATTGTAAATGATCTTGCACCATCGATCGTAACTTGTTGAAACTTGAAGAGAAACAAATTCGAGAATATAATTGCATTCAAGTTCGGCGTCTCCTTAATTACAGCTTAATAGTCTAGGAACGTATCTAGACCAAAGTTTGTAATCCGTTGTGTAATATATACACGTTAGATAAGTAATGCGTGTTCAAGAGGGGATAGTTTATGCAATATAAAATTAAACTTCTCTCCTTCGATAATTCCGATAATTATAAATAATTTTTCGATCGCCAAAGAATCGATTTTTCCAATTTTTCTGGAAAAAAAAAATTAATTTCGTAAAATCAAACGTATATTCGAATTGTTCTCGAAGAATCGTAAATAAAATTTCAAAATTTTATGTGTTATCTTTACGTTGCAAGTTCCAATGCAACGTAATCACAATTAAGGTATGGCGTTGATAGTTATATCGTTCGAAATTATCAAGGAAGTTAGTTTATTGGTCCCTGTATCTTTGAACAGTGGCGCGATTTCATTGTTCCGCCGGAAACTATCGCGGTCTCGTATGATATTGCCGTGGGTAAGTGACACAGTGGTACACGGTCGAAAGTTCACGGCACGTAAAGTGGATCTTTGGAACAATTGCGCAAGAAACGCGTAATTATAACTACTCGGTTATGTTCATAAAATTATACTCGTAACCATAAATCGCTGTATTTTGGTGGAGCGAGCAAACGGGTGGCCAAAGGAAGTCTCAGTTATAGTTTTATTAATAAATAAAATACCATGATATTCAAATAACATTCAATTTTCTGTCTACATTAAATGATATGCAATATAATATCGATTCTCTGAATTAGGAAACAAATTCTTATCGAATAGCTGTTCGAATAATTTTCAAATATTTATTACATAAAAATATATATATATACTTATCTCACAAGAGAAATCTCTCAATCATTGAATAAATTCAAAATTCGGATAATCTTCTAGCGGATAATCGGTTTACTGTGATACTCCTCCAAGTTAAAAAAAATTTCACTGGAACAAGCAGAAATTAATCGAAAGTTCAATTAGAAGTTTTAGCGAAGACGTTTTTATACGACGATCGAGGAAAGGATTATTTTTATTTCATCGCCAAACATTTCGTGAACGAGCCACGTTCCCCTGTTTAATGCAAATGTCGCTTAACCAGCGTTCAATTTACCCTTTTAAATTCGCGCCGGCGAGGAGCAACGCCACTCGATTTTATTGTTCTTACAGTGGCGAGAAAGCTGACGGTGCTGCGGACAAAGGAGGTTGATCCTTGATGCAGTGCTTTTCTGCCATCCTCATTTAAGAACGAGTATTTGCATGAGACGTGGCGAATCGGAATTGCGTCGAATTCATTGTGAATGCGCATTTAAGCTGGAAACCTCGTAACGAATGACACTTGGTGGACAAGAGTATATATATGTGTGTGTGTGTGTACGAAAACTTGGAGACGAGGAGGAAAGAAAATAAGAGTGGTGAAGGAAAGAAATAGGGTGGAAGAGACGGCCAGAGGGTGGAAGCGTTATCATTACGCAAATTTAAGGTCGGAATATAACGGACGCGATGTATTTTACGCTTTCTGCTGCTCGAGTTCTCTCGTAAAAAAAAAAAAAAAAAAAAAAAAAAAAAAAAAAAAAAAAGAAAAGAAAAGAAAAAAAGGGGGGGTGCCTGTATTAAAACACATTAAGTCCACCTGCCGGTAGTTCTCCTCGTATCTAACGTACGATGTTTTACTGCTCATGGTAAAAATTTAATAAGTTGATGCAAATGAGGCTCTTATGTAAATCTACAAGATTTCATAGCGGGTGGATCGTGGTACATATTTTTCGGCTGTCCCTCATTACCATGGTAAATTTCACCCCGTTGTAACTCGCCAACAAAAGGGGAAATTTGATTTCACGTGCACGGGCAAACTTTGGACAAACGTGGACTAATTTGACGGTGCTCGTAAGCCAAGATATCGGTTATGAAATTGAATTTGTCAAGATATTAGGAAAATTTTCGTAGAGAGCGTTCAATTTTCCTTCGAAAGAAACATGTCTCCTCTAGCTGATAATAATAAATTACCGCAAGTTTAAAGTTAACTCGAAACTTTCGTTTATCGAAGCCTCTCCTATGATTCTCTTTTCGAATCTAACTACTCGAACTTTTCATTTTCCCGTAATATACAATATTCCCTCTTGGTTCGAAAGAAATCTCGGTTGAAGAAGAAAAGGGAAAAAAAAAAAAAAAAAAAAAAAAAAAAGAATGAAAATATCAGACCTCGGCACATTCTGTAAGAATCAATGTGGAAACCAAGATTCTCTTTGAAACACGTATTCTCTTATTCGTTCAAGTGAAAACGCCAAAGGAGATAGAAACTTACGTTGAAAGAAGGAGGAAGAAGGAAGAGGGTGGGAAAAAAAAGAGAAAAAAGAGAAAAACAAAGTAAGAGAGGGTAAGAAAAAATAAAATATAAAGGGAGAAAGTGCGTTTCGATGGAGGAGAGCGACAGGATAAAGGGAAGGGATGATGTAAGAGGGAAATGAAGAATGGAAGAGAGAAAGAGAGAGAGAAAAAGAACGACTAAAGGGGGTAACTTTATCTACGCCGACAGAAGCGACCCTCGAGTTCGATTTTGCGCTGTTCACTAAGTTACCTGATCTGCTCTCCATTGTCTTGTGATAACTTTGTGATACCTGGGCTAAGGATTTCCTTAGATACGCTGAAGACGCCGTGTTTCTCGAACGAGAAGAAAGACGAAGCATAGAGCTTAAGTCGCGAAACTTTCCCAACAAACCGAACTCACTCCCATTCCGGCCGAGAACGTTGTGAAAGTCGTATATCCGCGAAATGATCTCGAGCTAGATGTTTCCACGTGACTCTTGATACTTCAACGAAGAAAACAATCCTCCTTTTTGTTTATATACTCTATGATATAGGTACAAGCATTTGAAAGTATGTAAACACATGTTCCTTAGAGGATATAATAAAAGATATTATTGCCATGTTTCTACGCAATTTTGGTGAATAAATTATTACACGTTTATTCGACAATGGCGTAGATAAAAATTTGAAGTTTTTGAAAGAAAGAATTGTTATTGATTTTATCTTTTTACTGATAAAATTCTATCAGTAATTAAAAAATTTGAAAACTTTTATGCATTTCATGCTCAGAACTTAAAAGACGTAAACTAACATCTAGTAAAAATTTTATCTTAATTGGAATAAGTTTCTGTTGTTATATTTATTATTATTATTCTATTATGAATATTAAATTTAGCATTTTGATTTTTTTATAGCCATTTAAAGTAATTTTCGAGCTATGTCATTTTTATAAACAATAAATTCAAAATCAATATATATTTTTTCCCATATAAATAATTTCATATTCAATTAACAGGAAAAAATAGAATCAAATAAAATATTGCTTGTATCAATGTTATCTTTTGATTCTCACGTTTGATCATTTTGCACAATTAATTATTATCATTGACAAAGAACAATAAAACAGAAATATCAGAATGCTGACTGGAAGCTTTTGAATTCATTTATAAATATATGCAATAACACTTTCCCGTAAACATTTCAATTTTTAATTAACACCAGAGTCAAATAATAAAATAATTAATTTAAATTTAACTCTGTTGATGAAATTGATTATTCGATTCGCGCATATTTTATTCAGCAATAGTAACTGCGAAAGATGAATTAAAGTACAATTAACTTTTAAATGTTTTCGATAATTTTTACATGTACTGTTTCGAATGTATATCCTTTTTGGATAACAATAAGATATATATTTAAACGCGATGATATTAATCATCTCTTAAATAATTTCGTTTAGAAACACGTCCAAATGAATAAAAGAAAGAAATGAAAAAAAAAATGAAAATTTATTTCACTAATCGTTGTGTGTTTGTATTGGCACGTTATTTGTTAAACTCGGCATGACGTGGCAAAACATGCAAGCTCATCGAAAGTTCAAGCGTTCTTTTTTTGTCTCTGATAGACAGAAAACAGCTTGGGTAGTTAAACGATAATTTGTCAAAATGAACACGATTTATTATCGAAACTTTAAAATTACTCGAATTTTTATTTGTGGAAGTAATTTCAACTTCAAACGTAGAATATATTCAATATCATACAATATTTATTGCATAATAATTTAATACTTTTAACACGAACTGTTTTCTTTACTATCGAAGATCATATAATTTTATATTTGTGTTCTATAATATAGTATAAACTTTATGCTTTTTTTTTTCTATTGTTATTTTAATAATAGGATGTTTCGTCATTCTAGCCAAAATAAAAGAAACGTGATATATTTTTGATATAATATAAAAACAATTTCTGATACAATTATTACAGTCTGTAATATGTAATTGTAGATATAAAGTAATAACGATTCCTCTCAGATAAGTTAATATTATTTAATTAATGAAGAATTAGCTTTATTCTATAATTTTTACTTGTAATATATTACAGCGCTTATAAAGAAATAAAAATAGATTAAAGCCTGTTTAATATTTGTAGCAATAACTTATGGTACTGTAATGTAATTTAATAAATTTCTGTATTGATTTCTATATCTGTCTTAGATAATAATTTATACCACGCATGTTTTTATAAAAATTTTATTCTCATATTTAAGTTTATCATCCGAAAAATGCAATTATGTTTGTCACGAATAGATTATTTTATTGTAAACAATATCATGTAAGAAATATATATCTTCATATATATAAGAACGCATTGATCAAATGCTTGGAATGAAAAATAGCATTGATAGCTAATACTAAATATTACTACTATTGATAACTAATAATATTATATTACTAACTAAAATATTATTGTATAACAATATGATATCTGTACTGAGATTTATTTTTTTGTTTCTATCAATTATTTTAATAACAGGCTATTTTGTGACACCAACGATGGTAAAGTATACTTACATCATATTTATATATAATATTATGAATAATATTTCTTGAGAATACAATAATAAATAAATTCTTTTGATTATTTCTAGTCTGCCCTGTGTAAATGTTACAGGAAAATAATACCTCATATGTGTTGGGTATGTATAATATATTAAATATATTTGAACTATTTTTAAATGATTATTTTCATAATTTTTATATTTTTTTATTTTATAGAAAATATGTGGAAAGAAAGGATAAACTTTTTACATTCCATTTTCATCGGGCAATATAAATTAATTTTTGATCATATGAATTTAATCAATTTCGTTTTATTATTTTGATCTGCTTTATTTTCATTTATTTCAATCTTTTATTGTATTATTGGAATAAGAAATTTGCATCAAATTTATAATCTCAGTTTATAATTGTAACAGTGGATTATTATAAGTTACAATATGACTTAATAAATTTCTGCATTGTAAATTTTGTTATGATTTCTATCTGAATAGATAATAATTTATGCATTTTTATATAAATTTTTATATAAATTTTAATCTCTTTAAATTTATTGTTGAATAATGTTCTTCACGAAAAGATTATTTTATTGCAATTAATGTCACGCAAGAATTTATTTCCTTGTATATAAACACATGTTGGTTAAATGCTTGGAATAAAGAAAAACATTGATTATTAAATATTTTGCATATGGAATAAAATGATTTCCATGCTAAGATGTATTTTCTTGTTTCTATCTGTTATTTTAATAACAGGCTATTTTGTGACACCAACAATGGTAAAGTATATACTTACATCATATTTATATATGATATTATGAATAATATTTCTTAAGAATACAATAATAAATAAATTTTTTTGATTGATTATTTCTAGTCTATCGTGTGTAATTGTAAGAGGAATGTTATAAAACCTCATATTTGTAGGGTATGTATAATATATTAAACATATTTTTAAATAATTATTTTCATAGTTTTTATATTATTTTTATTTTATAGAAAATATGTGCGAAGCCCAGATAAATTTTTATACTTCCATCTTCATCAAGCGATGTAAGTTAATATTATTTGATCATATTAATATAACTAATTTTGTTTCATTATTTTCATTTGTTTTATTTTCATTTATTTTAATCTTTTGTTGCATTATTAAAATAAGAAGTTTATATCAATCATACCATTTTATAATTGTAACAATGAATTATTATAAGCTACAATATGACTTAATAAATTTTCTGCATTATAAATTTCGTTATGATTTTTATAACTGAGATATATACAGATAATAATTTATGCATGTTTTTACATAAATTTTAATCTCTTTAAATTTATTGTTGAATAATGTTTTTCACGAAATGATTATTTTATTGCAATTAATGTCACGCAAGAACTTATCTCCTTGTATATAAACACACGTTGGTTAAATGCTTGGAATAAAGAATAATTTTTTACTAAGTACAACAATTCAATTGCATATAAAACAAAATGATCTCTATGCTGAGATGCATTTCCTTGTTTTTATCTGTTATTTTAATAACAGGCTATTTTGTGACACCAGTAATGGTAAAATATATAGGCTATACAATACTGTACAATATTATATATATTTCTTTGAGAATAATAATATTAATAAATAAGTTTTTTATTTAATTATTTTTATATTTTTAACAGATATATTGTATTATATTGAATTTTATTATATTTTTTAGCCTTGTAATTGTGAGGCACCGGAAACTGCACTTTGCGCAGTATGTTAAATTTATGAATAAATTTAATTTATCATTATTTACTTTCATATTATATTTTAATTCTATTTTTATTTTATAGAGACGTTGTCAACAGCATGGATAAATTTCTGCAAATTGGATTCGTCAAAATGGTTATAATGAATTATTTGAATTTAAAATATTATACAATATTATATTTCTATATGTTAATCTCTATATGTTATCTCTATATTATTAAAAAATAAATTCTTTGATTTGAAAGATTTTTTATTTATTTCTGGGATTTTCTTAAATCCCAGTATTTGTTTATTTTAGAATACGTAAATATGATAATTATAAATTAATATATATGTATATTTATAATTTTACTATCGCGTAATAAAGAATATCAATTATTTTATTATTTTTAATTGCTTTTAATAATGTATTTATATCGTTGTTCCGCTTTAATTGCTAGAAATATCTATCAAACTTTCGTATGTAACTTTCTATAAAATAAAAATAAAAAACTTTTAACCAAATAGTGTATACAAGTAATATGTACAAAATATATCAAATAAACTAATGATAAATTTTTCTCATTTCAAATTTATTGTTTTCATTTCTCTTTTTAATAGTTTTGCGTGCATGTATTTAAAAAAACTGAAAGAATAAAAAATTTATAATAAAAAAGTTATATCTATTATCAAAGGTGTTTCTAACTTTCATGACATTTTCTTTTCTTTTTACTCAATTTTCCAGAATTTTCCGGGAGAATGACACTTATTCCAGTTCTTGGAAAGTCACTTTACTTTCTTGAAATCATTATTCTTTCAGAACTAATTTAACATTTGGATAACTTTTCTTAAAAATTCCATTTCATTTTACTTATGAATTCACTATTATCGTATTTGAACATAATTGAAGTAATCATAAATATAAACTGTTATTTCAATGAAACATTAAACTAAATTATTATTAATGATTTGTTTGATATACATATATGTGTATCTTATAAATGAACACTAAATATTCATTTCAAAATGTAATCGCAAATCCAATATTTATATACTGTGGAGAATTGATTCTATTTGAATGGTTCAACGATTTTACTGTGATACTTCAATATTAATCGGATCTTAATATTTTGATTCTTTTCTTGATACTATCGTAAAATATAATTTTTCATGGTTATGAAATATTTTGTTCATATTCTTAAATCTTCTTTATGAATTAATGGATTAAAATAATAAATAAAAAAGTAAAAAACATCAAAATATTTATTACTTTTTTTTTCTTGTAATTTTGAAATCTACGTATAATATTTTATGGGATTAAATATTTATACGATTTTTTATTTTATTTAAACAAATTAATGCAAATACATGCGAATATTCTAATATTGTACGTTATATATTTTATCGCATCTAATAACATGGGAAAAGTTTATCGCGTCATAAATTTTTGTATCCGTAACACGTTCGTCACGAAAAATTTTATTTCAGTATTGCTGTATCTCTTTTAAACGTGACAGTACCTTAAACAGCTAGGTTGTTTAAAATATACAACATTCAAGCTGCATAAAGAATTATATACAAAGAATACAATTTTATATAAAATAATAATAAGAAATAAGAAATAATAAAAATAAAAGAATTTTTATATACAAAATAATAATAAGAAAAAATAAAAAAAAAAGTATTAATACCGTATTAAAATTAAATATGAAGCAACATGAAACAATTTAAACTTTTATTTTTCTCCTCTTGATTATTATATTTATATCAGATTATCTTAGCGTGTTAATAAAGCGTATTAATAAATAAACATAATTCTATATTTTATATTATTTTCCTTATTTTAGAATTCACAGAATTCTAATATTTTAATAATTCTAAAAATATTTAATAAATTTTCTATTGCTAGAAATATAGCAATTATTTGCATAAAGATTGGCCTAAAACAGGAACTGGGCTTTTTAAAATATGTAATCGTATTAATCAAATTGCAATGCTGAATCCATATATTTATTATTCATTATCATTCATATTCTATTTTAATGATTTTGTAAGAATAATCAACATTTTGAATAATGATAAATAACATTAAATACTCAAAAATTGAGATTTATACTAGTAAGATAATTTTTAATTGCATAAGAAAAGAATTATTTGAATCACGATCGTCACGAAAATATCATTTAAACATTTCATAAATATTTTTTAATGTGAGCATGTTCAATATTTTCTGGCAGGAAAATAATATATATATAAGAAAGGAATTATTAATATAGTATTGAGAATTATACAAACAACATGAATCAACCATCAAGATACTTCTTCTGTTTGTTTATTTTTCTTATATCAGCCTATCTCCTTATTCCAGCTGAAGCACGTGTAGTAAGAAAAAAAAAAATACTTTATTATCGATAAAAATTTTTTTTTTTAAATAATTGCAATAATAAGTAATCATAAATTTTTTATTATTAGATATGCAATTGTAACTCACTCTTACCAGAGCATGCTTTCTGCCTCGTACGTTACAAAATATTTATATTGTTAAATTATTTATAAAAATTACTAATTTATTAAATTTAATTAATAGATAATATCTTTTGTATTAGGACTGCGATCGAAGAGGAACAAAATAATATATATTACAATTCAATAATGAAATCTATGATTATTATTAACTCTTCTTATGTAACTAAAAATTCTAATTAAAATGAAATGTAATTAAAAATGGGAAATAAAATATATAATCTGCAATAATAATCATCATCGTTTCTATTATCATTCTTAATATCATATATTCTTATTATATATTATATTCTTAAAATTTATTATCTGATATTTGTATTAAGATCGTCACGAAAAATTAGCTTTATTATTAAGAAATATTGACGTTATAACAATAGAGAAAATATATGAAACAATCGTATTAAGTCTCTGCTTCGTTACGTTTACTGTTATCTCAGTATTATGTTACTTTAATATAACTGAAAGATAAGCAGAAACTGCCGTTTTGATAAGCAGGAAATATTACCGCTATTTCATTTCACATTTTTTAGACGACGTACATTAAAATCATATTCATAGAAGTAAAAATGTTAAAATATATTCGCATTGTTAGAAATATTCACTTACTTACTTTTATATTCCATACTTTTATATTTCTGTATATAATGCGACTAAAAAAAAATATCGAATTAATAATATATCTCGTAATATCGTCACATCGAACTTTATCACGTCGTAAAATAATAAATTGTAACACAACAGTCACGAAAAGTTGTTGTTCACAGCACAATCGCATAAAACACGCGTAAACATTTTTACATTTATCTAAATTTTCTATGGCATTGAACGATGATTATATATACAAAAAGCGGAAGTATAGACGTGTCAATATACTGAATATCAAGAATTCGATAAACATGCATCAAATAATTAAAACGTTCCTCGTGCTGTTCTCTGTCATTCTGATGTTTTGTTGTTTTATAACACTCGTTAAAGCGGTGAGCAGAAT